CTTTCTTTGCATCTGAATCCGTGAAACATGTGTCTCAAATGTGTCTAAATACGATCATGTGTGTGTTTAGATTTGACGGCTCATCACGTCAAGGGCAAACATCACGTTGATTGCTTTGCTCATCACGTCGTAGGGGGCAACCATAGGCAACCGTTTGAATCGTCGGTGTGCACACGTCCTCGAATCGTTTTTTTGCTCCCCCTCTAGAACACCCACAGATCGCACATATGTTGCTTTTGTATTCCATATATATATATACTGCACATGTTGCTAGAAGAAAGGCAAAACGGCCAAACGAGGACGGAATGGCAAGGAGAAGTTATGACCCTCCGCCAGCCGGAAGCCCAACGAGGACGGAGGCTTTGCTAGTCCACGGCGCTACCCAAAACTGAGGCGCATGGCATGACCAACGCTTCCCTTCTGTCCAACAAGTCAGCTCGATCGACCAAAGATCCGCTAAGTCAGCTCGATGACGACTGGATCCTTCCGCAAGAACTCAGGTCATGGTGAAGGGCCGCAGTCGTTCCAAGAACATGGCCGCTGACAATGAACCAGAGATGAACAGCAGCTCACCACCCTGCCCGAAAGAGTAGCATCCCTTTTGAAAGGGCTTGTCGTACCTCAAATTCCTCCATCAAGGTCTGGAAGATAATCACTTGGGTGTACATACCTGGGTCATCCAATGGGTGTCCAATAGACTACTCTACACTGCTGGACCTCCACCCATGTCCAGCATGGTCCTGGTCTTCAGAAGCGGCCCGGTATCGATGCCGGCCGGGAGCACCACACCACAGCGGCCAAAACCGGCGGTCGATGTCATGCCGACATATGCCGACCTTCGGTCTACAGACCTCGATGACGAGACTGCCCCAATTCGGTCACCAAAAACGATCACCAACAGGAACAGTAAAAGACGCCTGCGGCGCCATGTTGCGCCGTTTGGCGATACTAGTAGATCGATGTTTTTACTCCTCTTTTCTCCACCCAAGCAGGTCAACCAAGCGATGCGCTGCAACATCTAAAACATCTGGAACTTCTAAATTTCAGTCGAACTGGACGTTTTGCAATGGTCCAACTGAGGATCCCGACAACGGAAAGAAGAGGAGGTCGGACAAAACGTGGAACGTTCAGCCAATCTTTATGGATGTCAGAGCGAGAAACACGTCAAACAGAGAGCCTCGACAAAATACAACTTTCATGAGACAGTTAGGAGATTCAGGAGTGCCGCCCTACAAACTCTATCTGCTTGATGAGAATGTGAAGGACCACTAGGTGCGAGTCCATTTTGCGCATGCATGTGTAATGTATAGTTAAAAAAGTACGTCCACTGTCCACCAAGCACAAAACAACATCAAGATAGTGATAGCTTGGTCCAACTTCTTCAATCAATGCATCCTGCCGCCAAACAAATCTTTTGAACCGTCCTTTTGGAACGTAACCACTTCTCCACTTGAGCCCCACGATCGAAACCTCCAACGGTAAACCATTCCGCGTGGACTGGACTCGTCTCTCCTTGCTCAGCTCCGGGAAGGGAGGTCTGCGGGACTTGTGCCTGGCGGTCTGCGGGCGGCTTCCGATGCGCAGGGGGCGCGAGGTGAGATTGGAGGTTCCAGAGAGTCCCAACGAGTTAGATGCTGACAGTGAAACCGAAGGAGCTGGTTTCACAAGTGGCGACAGGCCATGACAGGAGGGTAGTAATTCCATGTTCGCAAGCCGGGGTTCCCACCGGGTTAAACCACCAGCTTCAGTGGCCAGAGCTCGGCAGTCGTCGTTGTCTGCTCTTCTGGTTGCTTTTCAGGGCGGCAAGAGACCCAGAGCTCAATCCACGATGTTCAAGAAGACATTGGGTAGATCCTATCGTACGGTCCATGGTAAACAAGAGACTGGCATCGCCAACACATAAAAAAACGTTAGATTTTTGGCGACCAAAAGAGTCTGATAATGTTTCAGTTGATAGGCATCACGTGCTATCTGTTCTACCAGGTTACCACTTAGCAAGCAACAATTTTTGGCAGATTCAGCCAGAGCCAGTGTTTCTGTCCAATGGATACAAGTTGAGGTGATTGTTTGACCTAATTAAGCTAAAAACACATAGGATGTGTCCTTGGGATTGGCATGTTTCTTCCCATGTGCAACAGGACGCCGGGCCAGCAACTGCTCTCTTCACTTGGTTTGGTCACTTTGCGCACACACACAGCCATTGCTTCTTGCGTCCATTTCTGAGACATTAGCAAGTCACCAGTGATGGGATCAATACACCTGCTACGTAACCGTTGTTTTTGGGGGAGCCCCAGGTTTTGAACGGACTAGACAACCACATGAGAGTTTTCTCGTGTACACTGCACACTTCAATTTAAAAGACATATTGGGTCTGTCTCCATAGTCTTGTATTTTAACGCGATGGAAAACCCCACCGCCAATGGGTTGTGGTCTCTGTTCCTTCTTCCAGGGGTCTTTCGAGGGTCATATTACAAACCTATATTTGATGGGTCCCGGCACTTTTAAGAAACCATCAATCTCTCCGCCTCAAGAACGCCCTGCAGTTGCCCATGTTCGTACTGCGCCTGCAGTGCCTTCAGCTTCCCTTGGCCCATGGAGGCCTCAAGGATGGCACAGCTCATCAAAAAACCAGGGCTTTGAGTGAACAAATGCTGAGAGCATCTGAGAGCTGCCTTCAGGGCAGTGACTCACAATGCTCTTTTGTTAAAATGCAAACTTGGACTAACCAACCGGGCCGGTCCACTTGATGTCGTGTGAACCTGGCTGGGTGTGATACTGACTCACTTGCTGTTAAGTACGCACTCAAGGTCACCTCTACTATGGACTGGTGACTGGTCTCACCGAAATCCAAGAGGAATGCAGTGTGCCCCCCATCGATACTCCCTTGCCGTCCATCCGAAACAACCACCAAATAAGCATCATCAAGCATGCATTACATGAAAGGTTACATGAATTTAGAACGGTCCGTGCGACCAACAAACATCACAGAATCACAGATGCAATCTGCTAAGATGTAAGATCCTGTAAGAAGATCGAATCTATATAACAAAAAGACGCTCTGGGGCTCACCCTGGATCACTCCCTAAGAACATCTATATATATATATATAAACTCTGAGAAATCCTTCCGTTCTGTGACACCCATGTGACACCGAAAAGGTAGGCGTCCGCAACAACCCACCACGACGCACCTCATCGTGAGCCGAAAGACCTGGCGTAGATCGGAAATGGTTCCCGTCCGAAAAAGGACCATGCAAGGTACAGAAAGACATGTATAGACCCGACAAACAGATAGTGATAGAAGTTCGAAAATCCCCACAAAAAATGTGTTGGAAACCGTGCCACTGGGATGACTATAATATATGTAAAACTAGGGTATCTGAATAGCAAAGGTAGAGGCCAAAGGTTTCTGGCTCTTGAACGTTGGATTCACTAGACTACTGTTGAAGGAAGTCAGCCGGACACACTTTGTGACCGAGGTCTCCTTTTTGCGGTCACCGCGGAGGGTGCCTGATGGTTTTCCAGAGTGTCTTTGAACATGATATCAACATGTAAGCCAAAAACTGTTGTGCTTGGACCAACTTGTCTACTGTACCGGCTATGCAGCTATGGAGTCCGTTCGCTTAAGACAATCTTATATATATATATATATATGTGACATGTGGATCTCAAGGGATCAAGATGAAACAGTCAAGGGTCACCAAGTTCGTCTCGGCCGTGTTTGGGGCTCTATGTGTATTTGCGCCAATGGCCAGTTCCACAGTTTCCCAATCCAAATAGGGGGGTGACGGTCAACAGTAAAAGCAGAACATGTCGAAAAATCGGCTGCTGCCCTTTCTTCTATCCACAAGACCTGCGGCATACGAAGTCTGCAAACGCACAAGCCTTGACAGCCACCCGTCAAATGAAACAAATGCAACGCTACAGCCTTCCAGCGAACCTGAGGACCATGAGCGAACCTGAGGGCTGCCGCCCAGGCCTCAACTTTGAAGTGCCAGGCCATGCTTGAGACTCCCATAAACCTATAGTCTGTCTGTCTAATTGAGGTCGATGACCATCCGATGATCATCCGATGATCGCTGGAGGAACGTAGCTGGAAAAATTGGGGCCGGAGGGCCGGGTGATTTTACGGGAGGCATGGATCCTGCGCCGGGCCCCCCAAAGAAGATCAGCCGTTCATCCGCCGTGGATCTGTTTGCATACCGGGAGGATCACTGGATATCACTGGGCAATCTGTTTGAAATACCTCTTTGCATTCCAGAAACACGGTGAACGCATGTGAACGCCGGATTCACGGAAAAAACTTGGGTTCACCCATAAATATTGCCCACTAACTCAACAATCCTGACAAACCCAAGGCCCAACTCCTGTCCTGCACGAAGGGGTTGCATCTTCATTCCGCCACTTCTCCCCAAACCAGAATGTCCCGACATAACTTGGGGGTTCACGACCTTAAATCGGCATGATCCTGCATTGTTTGGCTCTGGATGACTCAGCCAGGCGTCTCCGGCGCTCCCCAGTCCGGCTATTTACAACACCCCTCAAGCTGAGATAGAGCGAGCTGCCCCGTCTCAGTGCAAATGCGCGCAGCAAGCTGTCCCAACGTGGAAAACGCACGTGGTGCCCCACGCGTGTTTTTGCAGAGATTTGGACTGCCGCAAGTCCAAAGCACAAACGATTCTATACGCTAAACATATATAGGGCTGGCCTGCCAGATGGGGTTTTGAACAACACCTTGTGGTTTCTGCCAGCTCACAGCTAGTTGTCGGCGTACTTGAAATGGGCAAAATTACTTTACATCGTATCTGCCATTTACAAAATTGAGAACCTTACAAGCGTCATCCAAGAGTTTGAGGACGCACACGTTGAAACCGCAAAGGCTTTCAAGTTTGGAGTCGCTGCATTCTGCAGTGTACGGTCCGAACACAACAGTTGAAATTTGAGGCCTCCTGGCTTCCCCCCACTTGCACAGGTTTCCCCATATTTGTTTTTTTGATTCTCCCCTGTGACCCTTGTATACCCTTGTCTTTGCGCTAATCTTTGCTTATCTCTTTACAAATCTATACAAATCTGGCATGGCCGGCGTCTCCAAGCGGCTTCCCACCACTGAAGCCACCGTCCAGTGCATCGTAACATCCACGGCTCGTCATCATCGTCTGGAAGGCCTGGCGCCAATCGCAGGAACGCGGCCAACAAGGATGTGAAGCCAGGGCGCAACACTCTGAGCCGAGCACATACATCCATGGCTTCACAAGAAAGCGTCGGCCTTGCAACCTGCCAGTTCACTTTACAAGCTGTCAAGCCCACAAAAGGTCGCAGCTCCTGGGGCGCCCACGCACAATGAAAAACTGGGCATCTCTGGACTGTGAAATCCTTATTTTCGAATTGCGCCCGAGTCTGTCTGAAGAGTGCGAATCCAGAAAGGCATGTGGGCCGCAAGCGTCGAGAACATATAGCACTTTGTAGTAACGTCGTGCAAAGTCTTGGTCGCAGGTCTCTGGGAAACGCCTTGGTTTCCGTGTTGTCCTTCCCCCCAACTGACCAAAACTGGGACCTCTTGAGCGCTCAACTTTGAAGCAAAAAAGCATGGAACAGTTACTTTTGCCCGTCTGATTCTTTCAGCCACAGATTAACGATCAAGCAGCTTGTTGGTATGGCCCACAACAAAATAATATATACAAATATATATATAACTATATATTATATATATAAATACCTGGAACACACATTTGACCTCTGTTTTGATAGGACAAGACATGAAAAGGCCATGTTTTGGATCCAAAACAGGGGTCAATTAGGTTCTAGCTATATAATAGTTGTGTCTCCTTTCTGGAACCTGAAAAAGATACCAAACACACCTAAAAAAGCCATGGTGTGGGAGCATATTGTCTTCGACTTGTGCCACATCTTGGTGGTCCATGTGAGACCTTGGACAACATGGACAACTGGTGGTCTGATTTTCTTCTTGTTCCCTTTAATCCTGTGCATATGAATATTGAAATCAACAGAACTATCAAACAAACACGCACACACACACACACACACACACACGGGCCATCCCACGGGCCATGCGACGTCTGTCTTCGCTTACATGATTGGTCCACACACAAGTCCATGATTCAGCAAAAATCAAGCAAATGGCATGGAACAGTGTAGTGTAATGCTATTTTGGACAAATGTTGGAACAACGTATGATCAACGTATGATGTCTGAGTCACCACAGGTTGCCTCCAGTATGGTCAGTCTTCTTGGGGCAACTCTGTGATACTCCGCCCGTCTTCACAATGTCTCAGCCACCAAACTGTGTGCATGTTTGAGTTGCTTCCAGAACAGGGACAATGTCACTGGCCAGGTTCACGCGATGAACTCAAGGCTATGCTTCTAAATGCATATCTCCTCAGATAATTGTGAAGCAGGAGAGGGTTCGTACATTTTTGGGTCAAGCGCCTGCCCTACCGCTACCCTGTTAGACACTGAAAAACAAGGGGGCTGATCTGTCCATAAAAACTGAAAACAGTGTCTGATCTGTCCGTATCTGTCCCTTTTTGTGTCAGATCTGCCCATGCTTTGGTGATCTTTCTTCAGGCACAACTCTGTTGATTCTCTGCCCCAAACTCCCGTCCCTCCCGTCAGGCCCGGAAGAGAAACAACGTAACCCTCATTCTTTCGGTCAAGAGCCGTTTCTCAGCTGCATCGAAGCTCACCGGGTTGGGTCCGAACCTTCAATGGGTCTTTCTCCATCTGGACCTGGACATGAGATGACATGAGTGTACTTCAGAAACTGAACTCGTTTCAGCAACCTCGGATTTCCCCTCGGACTTCCGCTTTCCGCCGCAGAAACGGACGACGTGGACGGTCGTCGCTGTAAGGCGAAGCCGTCCAAACCACTCCCCATCTGCCTTTCCAAGGAGTTCGAGAAAAGCCGCAAGCTGTTCAAGCCCTGGCTGCGACAGCCGTGCTGTTCTTTCTGTCTGTCTTTTTTTCTTTCTCGTGGGGTTGAAGTCCGGCCCGGCTTTGTCGCATATGTCAACTAGCTGTGAAGTTCTCAAAATGTGCAACCGTCCAGGAAATTTTGGTGCCTGATGGAAGTACGACAGGTTCCAATGGAAGTGGGACACTCTCTGGCTGAAGGAAAATGGTCTTTCAGCTTCTGCACACACTTCCAAGTCTTGGTCAGACTCTATTGAAGACTCTTGACCAATATCACTCAAATGAACCTTCCTGAGTTGATCATCTTCATGTTCTTTGGACATTGGTTCCTATTAGAGGAAGAAACTCATGCACCACATGGGATAGGAATGACCCTTTTTTCAAGTGTACTGTGCTTTCCTGATCCCGTGCTGTAGGATGTCTTCCATATCATCACGTACGGCACTTCTGCGTTCAAGGCGGCAAACAGTGACCATGACCTGCGCCCGCCTGCGCCTCTTCCACACGGGTGATGTGGAGTGATGCAGTTCAATGTATGGATGGATGGAAAGGTACCATTCAGCTCAATCCGATCAACCCTGAGTCATTGGTTCTGGAATCAACTAGTGAAGCTCGGAACACATCACGTGGCAGTCTTCGAAAAACCGAAGGCCATCTGCAGGTTCTTCACTAACTTGTGGATTTCCAGCAAGGGAATGCCAACGTCTTCAAAACAGGGTTATGCGGTGAAGCAAGGCTTTGCTCAACAGGACAAGAGCTGCTGGTTCGTCCCTATTTATTCTCTCATTTCTTTCAGAAATGAAAAACCTTTCGTATGTTTGTCACATCTATCAAGCTGCAACGGTTCGTCCCTGCTCTTCACTTCCAACTAAATCACTGGCAAATCGCCCCCAACCTCCCAGTTCTTTTCCCCTGCTACATGGGCGCCCCGGCGACCAGCATAGTGGTGCCCTCATGAAGGATCACGCCCAGCCACAAGGGTAAGCCAGCCACCAGGGTCAAAGTGCTCCTGATCTCGCAGTCTCGGACCAGTGTCGGATGTCAGGGCCGGTACTGAAAGGGGGCTTCGGGGTCGGATGAGGGGTCCGGAGTCCGATGTGACGACGGTTGGAACGACTGAAGTTCATGAGCTTAGCCTTGGAGATCTTTGGGTCGCAGCCAGGATTTCTCCAGCCGAACATCCGGGCACAGCGTTTTGGCCCCAACGGATGGCTCCCCCAACGGAGGTAAGCAATGGTACCGGTCATGAGCGGACGGAAATGGTCGAGGTTCGGCCTTAAGAGCGTTCGGTGTTCGACCAACGAGTTTGAGAGGTGGTTTTGTATTCTGCTTTGAGGGCCACTCACAGTGATATCCTAATGAAATGGATGTCACCAATCCCTGCAAAACAGGAAGGGCAACTCCATGCAGCAGTACACTCAATCTCCTAATCCCAAGAAACTGCCACCAAAATACAATATGTTTTGCTGTTCTCACCGATTGAACGAAATTAGACTCCGACGTTTCAATCTCATCACATCACCAGTTGGAAGGTCCAATGAGTGAGTGATGGGTGTCAAACAGGAACCGCGAAGCCAAAACGCCGGTCTGGCGTTTTAGGGAAGGCAAGTCAATTCTTGCAGGTGTGAAAGAATCCTTTACAGCCTGTCATTCCCATCCATTCAAACACATCCACAGCCTCAGCCTATCAGTCAGCACTGAAGGAACTCCCAGGTCTGCTGTTGGAACTCCCCGGTCTGCTGAAAACTGCATCATTCTACAGCCTCCGTCCACTCGGCTGCGACAAAACAAGATGGAACCCACGAACCCGAATGCCAACACGTACTCGAAAACAAACGCTCAAACAATTTTTGACACTCTTGTAGGAGACATTTTTGTGGGACACTTTTGTAGGACACATTCTTTTCGGAAACCTTTGTGGGACACTCTTGTACACTCTTGTGGAGCACCTTGTATGACACTCACTCTTGGGGGACACTCTTGCGGAGCACTCTTGTAAGACACTCTTGTGGGACACTCTTGTAGGACACTCTTGTGGGACACTCTTGTAGGACACTCTTGTGGGACACTCTTGTAAGACACTCTTGTGGGACGCTCTTGCAGAACACTCTTGTAGGACACTCTTGTGGGAAAGTCTTGTAGGACACACTCTTGTATGTCACTCTCGTAGGACACTCTTGTCGGACAC